AGATCAAAATGTGTGTATTTTAGATTGACTTCGGAAACATGAAAAGATAAGAAAAATCTTGACATAAGAATAATAAATAATGGAAAAAAATGTGTTTTTCTGTGCATGCATGTTCTTGACAAGATTAGATACTTCACTCTTTTTGCAACTTAAGAATAGCAGTATCAGAACGAATGAAATAACATAGATTAAAGATACAGCGAAAAACTAAACCAAAGTCCCCCAATCACCTTTACCAAAAGCATTGGATTCAATGCTTGCTTCAAAATGAGGGCAAGTTGAAATAGTTCATAAGAAATTAGTGCTTATTCTAAACAGCCGTCTGTTACTTTTTTAATGAAATTCGTTTTTTAATATAACGTTACGTAGAAAAAATTACACAGCGCGTATTACCAATTTAACCTTTGATCTACTGACACTAAGTAACCTCATAGTCCTAATAAATTAGACATCAAAATATTCGCCTATGAAATAAAAAGAAATGAGGCAGGCATATTATCCCAAGATAAAAAAAATGAAAACTAGTTTCTCCTACATGATTGATTTCCAGAAATACAAAATAATTTTTCACAAATTCTATTTTGAAAATATTATACCTCATAACTATTGTTTTCACATGATAACGATTTCTTTGTGTCTTCTGTGAGAGATGGAAATTTATTTTATCACTCAAAAATCTTCCTTCAGAGAAGGAGAAAAGCTTTTGTCTGGTTGGTCTGTTCCTCGGGTAACTCCCCTACATCCATGGAATCACTGACAAAGTGAGCCGAATTCTGAAGAAACATAACATAAAGACAGTATTCACAGCCAACAACCAAATATCCTCTGTTAAGAACACCCAAGGACACGATACCCAATGAAGCATTGGGCGTATACGAAATACCATGTTCAAACTGCCCCAGAACTTACATCGGCCAGACCGATAGAAGAATTTCCAACAGAGCCTATGAACATGAAGTAGCTGTTCGCAAGTCAGATCCAGCATCATCTCTTTTCAAACACCACCAGGAAACAGGACACACAATAAGCTTCGCAAACACCAAGACCATTACTACGGAGAAAAATCTTCAGGCCAGGATGATTCGGGAAGCAATCGGAATTGAAAAACGCCCCAAAGATAGTTAGAAAAAACAATTAGAAGACCTTCTAAGCGGAACCACAAATGTGCGGTTGGCTTCTGTTGTTGACTCCGGGCGTATGTGTTGTTTCCTGCTTTCGGCAAACAAGTGTTGCCTATCTTTACACTTGGCTGCACCGCGCTGATGAGGCCAATAGCCAGAAACACGTGTCAGCGGTTTGCCCCCCCTTTTTGGACATCTGTTCAAAAAGGTGAATTTCATGTATGTATCAATTTCTATTTTGTGCCCTTCCAAGTTGTCTCTCTCATCGAAGCAATTCTGATATGCACTTTTTAGTGTCTTTGAGCTTTTTTAGCGATTCAGTTTTCTCTTCTCACTCAAATCTGGTGAGTGCAGTGGCTGAGGCATGATAACGGAGTTGGTTATGGGTAAAATATTACGAACATTTGCTGCTCACAAGCGACTCATAACTTCAAGATAATACTCCTTATTGACCGTACGACCATGTGGCAAGAACTCCTGATGCACTACGCCACGGTAATAGATAAAAACAGTGAGTAAAACCTTGACATTTGATCGAACTTAGCGTATTTTTTTAGACTTTGGTTGCAACGATTAGATTTTGGTTTCGATGTCATAACAATATACCGATGATTCGTCACCAATTTTAAGCAAATCCGGATCGCCGTTGATGTCACTCAACAATTTCTGAGATGAAACGGTCGAAATTAAGCAACTTTGGATCGAACTTCGCTGCCACACGCTTCATGCCCGAAATTTCCGAGAAAATTGCATAGCATGAGTCAACCGACATGCCCACATCCTTAGCAACTTCTCTAATAATAATCCGACAATTCTCCATATCAATTTTCATCACTTTCTCAACATTTTCATCGGTTGTTGATGTGCTGGGACGTCCAGGACGAGCGTCGTCATTCACATCTTCTCGTCCTTCTGTGAAAAGCTTATACCACTTGTATACATTTTTCTGACTCCGAGAGTACAATCACGGTATGCCACTGTCAACATTTCGAGTATTTTTGATCACCTTATTCCATTTTTTACACAAAATTAGATGCAACTCCTTCTATGGCAAAAAATCCTCAACAACAAACTAAACATGTTAAACAGCTGAAACGGTGAACATATATTCGAGAGTGTACCAACATAAAATTATATTATACAAAACATAAAGATATATGCTTTTTTTCTTCTTTCAAATCTGAATTTTACTTTTTCCAATACAAATGTAACATATTTGTTTTTTTATTATTGTTATTCGAAAGTTCAATATAATTATAAACTTTTTTGTGTAAAATATCCTGACATTTAGAAGCTTTGTCTGTAACAGTTAGCCAAATGAGTTTACTTTAAATTGTGTACCAAAAAATTATGAAACCTGTTTATGAAATGTATCAATTTGCAAATCAGAATTGGTTCCATACATGTTTCAAAATTTTGGTACATGAGCTGCTTCAGTTCAGCCGTCACTGACTTTTTTATCACTGTAAATTCAGTAGTAGTGTAGTGTTTTTAATTTTTGATAATTCATCAGATTAGATTTCAAAATTGTTGAATTATTATTTATAATTCGAAATGCCACATTACGGATTAATGCCACACTTAAAAAATACCTTCTGTTAAATATTTCATGAATTTAATGAGAATGTGAAAACGTGATTTCACTGTTACATACTGATACCCAAATAATCATCAAAAAAATCTGAAAATTGGAAATCATCCAAACTTTTACTCACACTAGACTTCGGATTTCAGGTCAGATTGTTCCCACTCAAATCAATGAAATTTTAAAAATTCTGAATAGTTGAAAACGAAATCGATGTACCTTCAAAACGATTTATCACTTTATCCACATACCATTGGGAAGTTTTTGGCGGATGTAGCATTTAGCGTCATCTGCCGAACTATTTTTAAAACACACTAAATTCATCTGTATGGCATGTTACACTGGTTGTGAGACTACGCCAAATATTCGTTTCCTTTCAATTTTAAATTATTTTATTTTAATTCCTGGTAAAAAACCATTTCAGCTTTCTACGTCTTCATCTTCAAACAAAAAATGTAGGAAAGTTCCGAAGAAAGAAAGAAGGAACTCAACTTCATAATAAACTATTTGTGAAAATGTGTGTACTTTCATATGAATATTGAAGATGGAAAACATTTTTTTCCTATTCAGTTAATCTCTTCTAAGAACTTTTTTCTTTTCAATCCAATTGAATTGAATTATTATGGTAACGTGAATTATTAACTGTGGAAAAGATTAATTATCATCAAATTCAAACCAGATTCAAAAAACGAAGCATTCGTGACATCCACAGGACTCATCAATAGTGATAGGCTGAACCACAAATACATTGTTGAACTTGTTCTTTAAGGGTAAATGTCCATGCTTATTCTCTGGCTAAGGGTACAGCCTAGCACCACTGACGATACTTATGGCGGGTGGAAACAGCACTATCTAGTGTTGGGTAAAGGATTGCTTGTCTTTGCAACGGACTGCCTTTGGGAGGTTTTTGTACAGAGAGATATCCATCCATTCAGTAATACTCAACAATTCCACTTACAGCTTGTCAAATCTAGGAAGTGAGTTGAGAATTCTCACTCTCTCTCTCGCTCTAACAGTCTTCTAACGAACCCACATCTACACTTGATGTGTACATCAAGACACTACATTTGACAAACTGTCAAATGTAGTGTCATCATACCAACAATTCGGTCAACAAACTATTGAACCCAGTATTAACGTATCTAAAAAGTTACTTCTTTGTGTTATTTTCTTCAATCTACTATATAAAAATGGATGTTTGTTGGTTGGTTGGTTGGTTGGTAAGTGATAAACTTCTACACCGCTCAACCGATCGCAACTTGACATGTATGAGTAATTTTTCATAGAGAAGGTTTTTAGGCTAACAATGTTTCTGTAACTCGCCACTAGTTCGGACTTTCATTGTCTAGAATAGAATAGAATAGAATAGAATATCCTTTATTCGCCATAAAAAAAATACAATAGTATTATAAGGTTTTGTCAAATATCATATAGCATAAGAATATCATAAAAACACTAGTGAATAAATAAAAAATAAACAAATAAGGAAATGAGATGTGAACAATTTCAATATAAATATCACTGTCTACGTATATTGTAAATTCAAAATATTAGTTGGTGTTGAAGTCAAATGATATTCTTCATATAATTTGTAAACGATTTACTTGTATTTTATTTCACTATTATTTCATTTCAGGTTATTTTTGCTCAATATAATTGTTATTTTCAGCTATTCATTTTCAATTCTTCTTTTTTAGTTGTTTCAGAGATTTAAAATCATTTTATATATCAGACAATGGAAGTCCGAAATAGTGAAATTCATCATGAAACATTGTCAATCACCTTCAAGCAAATGTACAGTGTTTATCCTGTGTATAGAGAATATCGAGAAATGTTTAAATTAAATGAAAAAATGTTAAGCTACTTTTGACAGATTGATTGATTGTATCAAGTTGTGGAAAGTAAGAGCATGACTGAAAAACAATCGCAATCTCTGCGAAACGCCATCTGTGGGATTGATAGAAAACTCAAACGCAGTTCATTCGGGGTGGTGTATTTGAATGTGATGGTCCATTGAAAATATGTTTAAAATATGTTTTTCCGTTAACCATATGTCGCACCCCTACGAACGACAACCCTCAGATGTCGAAACTTGTGCGAGCTAAGGACCTTTCAACGTGTGATTCCTAACACGCAAACCTAAATGGAAAATTGCCTTATGTTTCTCATGATTATTATATCAATGTAAGAATAGTATCAACTCAAAAAGTAATAATAATGAATTGTGAAAGCAACAAGTCGCAAGTGAACCAATTTTCATTGACGATTCATTAATGTGATAACAAACTGCTTTTTCAGGTTTCTCTTTCAATCAGGAATTCATTCCCCAAATGTTCAAGACGAAATCGAACATCTGGCAACCATGTTACTGGGCGAATTGGAAAATGGTGTGATGAATGGCCTTGATATACACACGCGGCCGTCGATAGAAACAACGTTGCCACATCTACATGACTCGTCATGGTCGAACGTCAAGGTAATGAAATGACCGCCTAGAACGACATAAATCATCCATGTATCGTGAAATTTTAACAACTATCCAGTTAACAGCCTTAAACGCCACTTAAATGGTTTATTGCGGAGTGTTATGCGTTTAAAAAGAGGAAAGTGAAAAAGTATTTTGTAACTATGGTCGGTTGCATTTCAGTATTTTGGTAGTTGCTGTGAAACGAGATATATAGAAGTATCAAGAACCACATTTTTTAATTGTTCGCAGGTCAGACGCTAAGCTGAAGTTTACTTCAAAATTTGTATGTACCGGTTGTCCCACTCGAATGTGCATATGGAATATTAATTATGCTTTATTATTATTGAATCAGCACCTGAAGACAGTGAATATATTGAGACCAGTCCGACAACAAAAATGTTGAAGGAAGGAAGTATAATATACAACAACCCACACGTCGAAAACCACTATTATATCGTATGCCTCCCGATTGTCTAAAATGATTAGACCGATAGATCATATATAACATGTTTCTAATAGTTAAAAAAATACGAGGAGTATATCAAAGCTAACGTTCCCTATACTAGGTCCACGAATCTTTCCTTGATACGCCATTTTTTTTTCAAGTCGCACCCTAGTTCCATAACTACATGAATACCGATATAGTAAAGATTTGATTTACTGAAATCAAGATATGCCAAAGAATTGACAATAAAATTATACTACTTATATGGATATATTACTTTCATTATTACCTGATTTGTAATAATTTACACAAAAAATGTTTACTTTTCTACGCAGTTGAAGTGGGGGTAACAAAGGTATACAGGGTGGCCCACCACATTCGCTTCGGTATTTCTACGAGAAATGAAGAGAGTTAGGAAAAAACTTCTAGCACAGGTATATGTGAGTCTGAACTGACGAAATAAAATGTATTGCCATTTCTGAAATATTAAAAAGCATTCTTCAAAATAAGAAGATGCATGTGTCTTAATTATTGAGGCAAAATATGTTAAATTCGCTTGTTTCTTAGCAAATATATTAGAGTTCGTAGTGGAATAAATACCAAAATTACAATATAGGGTCAATAAAAACATACATTTACGATTGCCTATAAAACCTATTCTACTATTTTTTCATTAATAGTAGGCTCTGGCCTAGATGATGTTAATTATTATTATGAAACACAAAGTATTTGACAGTGACACAACTTGTTAATCAAATCATTATGATTGTTTCAACTGGTTTAAAATTATTGTCATTTTGATAAATTGTAAAATGAGAACGTATCCCCAGGAAGAACGAACTGATATGATAAGAAAATTACCGGTTGAGTTTATCAGATTGTAGAATTTGCTCGATAATCAGATTATTTAAGCAAGTTTGAAAAATCGGTTAAATTACCCAGTGTAAAGCAATTGATAAAGGTTATTATTCAGTTATTTTGTTTCATTGTTGTTACAGGTGAATTTTTCCCAATAAGGGAAACAAAACCAAGGTTTCTTCTTGAATAAATCATTCAACATTGAATTTATCGTTAACGAGTTTTGAAAAATATTACAGAATTGATAGCGGGACAAGATACCTTTGAAATGATGTCTCAATTGACTACCCAAACCACTGAGACAAATATAGAGGGTAGCTACTGTCCAGAAAGATGAAAAGTTTCAGGTATGAACCAAAACTGGACCACCTCCAAATAAAAATTCACGAAACTTTTGTTCGCACGCCCGTTTCTGAGTTAGAAGGAGTAGATAGACCCAAAGTGAGTTTGTCTATTCCTCCACAGCACACCTATTCAAACTCAACCAAATAAATCCAGTTTCTTAACGAAGCCAATTATCTTACTTGGGGAGTGATCTGAAAACCAGTACACGGCGGGGCAGATACAGAGTATGTGTTCTGCTACACTCCAAGGTTGGCAGACCATGATGCATTTTCCTCAATCTAGTGAGGACCTGGTCGACTGCCATTCTACGAACACCTTCGTCAGGAAGGTAACTAAAATTAGTGTAACTTTTTTCTGCGACGCCCTCCTTTGGCTGCAGGTTAATAACTGCAACCACCAGTAAAGATATGCTCTCCTGATATTCTCAGGTAACCTGTATTCAACCAGGTAGGAATATGCAGCTGTGGATCATCTCCTGTAATATCCTCTACGGCAGCCAGATTGGTCGATATTGAGGTTGTTGGATGTTCAAGGTGCAAGACTCCAACTTTAACGACCGCAGCCACCTTCCCATATAAGTGGACCTGTGAGTGAGCTATACCTGACGATACATTATATTCACGTCCCCAACCTTCCTTTGATGTTACAGACAATCCAGGTTTCAGGCTATTTGGGTCTCCAATTAGGCGGATTGCTCTTTTATGGGTGTAATCCAGCAGCCTGGAGGGTATTCTTGAAGACGAAACCTACATACGTGAGCAATATTCCAAATTATATTCTATTACTCCAATAAAATATTAGAAGTTGCTGTGATGTGTTCAACTTTCTAGTGCAAAATGAAATTCTACTTGTTTACTATCACCTCAAGCCAAACTTTCCTCCAGATCCCACTTTGTATGAAACTTCTTTGTTATGGACGAATATGTTTGAATATCGAAACGGCAAGAACAGATAAGTTTTGGCTATTTTCAATAAATCGTTAGAGATTATTTGAATCCCTGGGGAATGCTAGAGAGCCACCAACAAATACGATAGAAAAGCCAAAATTTCAAAATTCAACTAGTAAACCCTAGTGCCAAACACGTTGAAAGGCCTTGGAAATATCGAGTGTAACAGCCTGAGACCCTTCATGTTTTTGCTTTCAAAAACTATATTGATTATCGCTAATGATGTTGAAGCATTCGCAATATTTAATAATGTGGTAATGTTATGATTTTTGATATCACTGATAGAAAATTTGCTGATATTGAGCTGGTTCTACTGAACGATATCGAACTCGTCTGATTGTGCGTTGAAAACGCTCCTGTTTGAATGAATAATAAGGAATTGAATTACTCGACCGTTGCCACACTATAAATTATTACCGCATTTACCAAACCGCGCGTTTCGCTTACGAAGTTAGTGTCCCCAGGAGAGCATGATGACTAAATTTTACTACTATGTTAGTTTTCTGATTGATTCGGCCGTTACTTGATGAAGATCCATAGTAATTTTATGAACTACACCTCACGATTTGATCTCCACAAACTTTGTTTGAAAAATATATATCACAACATGTTTCGCCAACGCAGTAGCTTTATCAAGTGATTTGAATACTTCAAGTTGCTTCTTACACTAATATTCATGTACTACAGGTAACCATAATTGAGACTACCTCAAAAAAATTACCTAAACCTCTACCTAAGATGCCTCTTCAATTCTGATCACCTGATGCATATCACCTCACATCAATAAAAATTCTTTCTCGGTTTTTGAGAAAACAAGTTCAATAATGGTGATCTATTATTCAAATCCAGTTGGTCATTCATTAGATTGTTTGAATTTTCAAGTTTATTAATTTCCATTGCTTCCAAATGATTCAGTTTCAAACCTTTATTTTCTATGTGCAAAATTTCGAACTCTTCGGTAAAGATATGATTTTCTTCTAGAAGATGATTTGAATATGTTGAATTTGTTTTCTTATTAACATGGCTCGTATGATGTTCCTGAATTCGATTCCTAAATGTTCTGCCAGTTTGACCAATATACACCTTAGGACACGTTCCACACTTCAACTTATATACTCCTGATTTCTCGAATTTGGATGTTTTGTCTTTATTATTTTTAACTAATACAAGTAATACGTTGGGAAAGTTAGTTGAAAATAATAAAGACAAAACATCCAAATTCGAGAAATCAGGAGTATATAAGTTGAAGTGTGGAACGTGTCCTAAGGTGTATATTGGTCAAACTGGCAGAACATTTAGGAATCGAATTCAGGAACATCATACGAGCCATGTTAATAAGAAAACAAATTCAACATATTCAAATCATCTTCTAGAAGAAAATCATATCTTTACCGAAGAGTTCGAAATTTTGCACATAGAAAATAAAGGTTTGAAACTGAATCATTTGGATGCATATATATATATATCGGGTTTCGCTCCGT